AATAAACAATTTAATTACTTGATAATATTTTTGAGAACTAAGGTTTTTTTCGTTTTTAGTGTGTCGCACCCGAAACATAGAACAGAGAAAAATTATTAATACTGTAATGATTTCTTATATTTACGCGAACACTACACATTGATTAAAACTACTTTTACAGATTTTATCGCGTTTAATTTTAATTTTAATTATTTTTATTTTTGATTCCCGACGTTTCGGGTGCTTTCCAGCACCCATGGTCACGGGGGACTGTGGTGATTGACGTCCCGATATCATTGTTAAACTCGGAGTACCTTCAGCTTTTTTAATTATTGTTTATACTCCGATCTATGCAAAATGCATAAATCTATGCATTTAACAATTAAAATTAAAATTAAACGCGATAAAATCCGTAAAAGTAGTTTTAATCAGAGCAGTATTGATGTCACTCTGCTGTCTGTATGTATGTTTGTCCGTCTGTTTTTATGTCACGAATCATCTCCATCTCGTAGAAAGAATGAGTATTAGATCTAAAATTCGGATGATTGGCGTAGAATGTTGAACCCAAAACCGAATATTGAATTAGAAATTCAATTACGTTATTTGCAAGGTACATAGTATGCACAAGCACTGGGACGGGTGTTTTCTCTAGTTCTTCATATCCCGTAGTCCGAAAGTACTCTTATATTTTGATATGACGATCACCCGACGACCAGGCCATACGTGGTAGAGCCATGCTGCAGCCACATTAGTAGTTTAGTAGTAGCATGAATGGGTCGGCTCGAGCGGGGAAGGACCACGCTTTCACAGAACACCGGCGTAAAATAACAGCTTAACACACCTGTGTGTGCACTTTGTGAGTGTAGAGAACCGGAGATCTTTTTGCTGAAAACGCGGCATTCCATCTTATTCCTCACGGGTGACAACGCATCTGTATTTTGATTCGATTTGTGTGTGTAGATGTCTATGAGCCGCAGCAGTGCCTTACCATCAGGTGGACTGTGTGCTTGTTAGTCACGATTATTCTATAATATAAAAAAAAAAACTAGCAGAGGGATCACGTGCAGAAACAACGGCTTTATGTGCTATCTAATGCACAGTGGGGAAACACCGCTAACATTCTCACCCTGGGCTGGTGCTGAGATTTTTTGATAGAAAAACCTAATAACTAATTTTGGTTTGATCCGGGATTTGAGGACCTAACGATCGGCAATCTCGTTTACGACCACTAGACCAATAAGGCAGTAATTATTAATGTTAAATAGTTTCAACGCTAGAAGCAATCAATAAATAGTACGTGAGGGTAACATGGTCATCCGGTTAATACGGTAACTTTCTGATTACGCAAAAACTACAACCTTGTTTGTATAGATGGCTGTCTGATACGATAGCTTGTCATCGGTCAATCAAATAATAAAAGGTCAAAAGGGCGCTGCTTAATCTTAGTCAATTTGACAGTTGACTTTATAGTAAACATTTTAGTCGATTTTATTATTGTGTAATGTATTTAGTTTTTTTTTAAAGTTGATTTTTCGAAGTGTTCTTATAATTGCCAAAGATTGTTTGCTATTATTTTCTTAATATATTAGTTATAGTAGACGACTTTTTGTTTTAATCCCTGTTCGCCACTTGTTTTGGTTTTATAGGGCCGCAAAGCTTAAGGTGACCATATTACCCTTAAGTACATTAATATAAAATATTTATTTATAATAATATTAATAATATTAATTTATTGAAACCAATCCAATCTTGACGATTTGAGAAAATGTGGCAAGTGCACAGTTTCTCAAATTTTTTGTAACAGTTTACCAAAGGCCTTTTTTTAATTCTCAGTTAATATTTATTCACAGTATAAAAGACATAAACGAATTAAAAATTACAGTTGTAAGAATAGAAGAAGCACGAGAGTAGAATAAATGCAGTAGAAATGCGGTCGCTAAGGAGTATGTTAGGGCTGAATCTGAGTGACAGGGTGAGAAACTGTGTGATAAAAGAAGAGTGTGGTTTGCAAGATGATGTAGTCACCAGGATTAAGAAAGGAATGCTTCGGTGGTTTGGTCATGTAGAAAGAATGAATGAGGAAAGACTGACAAAGCAAATATATGTTGCAGAAGTGAATAGAAGAGTCGGAAAGGGACGTCCTAGGCGAAAGTTTGTCGACCAAATTGGCGATATATTAAAAATGGGCCAAATTAAGAGTACCCTTAACCGACGAGCATGTATGCGTAGGTATATGGATGTGGAAGAGGCGAGAGAGGTATGTCAGGATCGTACTAAATGGAAGTCTGTAGTCTCTGTCTACCCTTCTGGGTGACAGGCGTGAGTGTTTATGTATGTATTGTAAGAATAAATAGTTCAATTATTTCACTTTTATATTCAATCAGGAAAATATTTATTTGATAAATAACTTTTAGCTGACGATTGAAATCGGCCTTAATTAAAATAAGTAATGAATATAATACATCTACTAGGTAAATAGAATATAGTAAAATATACATACATATTGTTAAATAAATTAGGTAAGAAAATTAAAGTACAAAATAGAAGCCTGAATAAATATGTTAACGAGTTGGTATACGTGCCAAAGGTATACATACGTACAGTGTCGAATCACTCTTGTTATACCAATATTTCGAACCAGTATTATAAAATATCGAATATAATAATTTATATCTCCTTAAAAACAATATAATTTCAATTTATTACACAAAAGTACAGCTTACTGCATATCAAGCGTTACAAATGTAAAGGCAAATCGCGGGATTACTTAAGCGTAGGCGATACGCTTGTCAGGCTGTCGAGTTTACTAATTTATAAATACTTGATCCCATACATATTAGTCTACTAACTGCAGAGCTAGGTGTACGACAAAATTCAACATTATTTATTATACGTCTCTAACCACCATTGTAAATTCAGTCGTGCAGTTTAATTAAATCCATTATAATTTGTTGCTGTGACAGCAAACCTGAATAATCTAAAAAAGCATAAATAGACTTAAAAGAAACTAGTTTAGTATGTAGACAGCAAAAACCAGTTGTAATTTTTTGGCATAAAAAGTTAATTTAGTAATTTTATTTAAGTTTCAAATTATCAACAGTTACTTAAAAAATGTTATTTTATCAAAGCTAAGTATTGTTCATATTCTAATTAATCTCTAATGTCCATAACAGTTTTGCAAAATCTTTAAACCAATATCTCATACAGTACATGGTCTCTACGCTCAACTAATATGCAACTAATACAAACTATTTTATTGTTATACTAGCTCGGGATCATATCGTTGTTTGCCAGTGTGGCCGTCTGTTATACGTTCTTCTGAGAGACTTGACAATAATACTGTCTGTCATTTCGTTATTCTTTGTAGTGTAAATTAAAAAAAATAACTGATAATCGCCTTCTATCGAGTTCAGACTTAGTGATTTTCGTTTTTTGCATTAAATCAACACATATTTTGAATATGAGTAATTTTGATTCATAAATAGAAATTTTTTTATCAACTTGACAACTAACGGATCCTCGTATGTACAGCTATAAGCCATCTTTACGATGCGATACAAATATTATATTGTGCGAAAAACGAAAATGACTTCAATCAGACAAGTTGTTCAAAAGCTATACAATCACTTACAGACGCACAACGCTTATATTATTATATATACCCGGTTATTTGTGTATTGTATACGCAATTACATACTGCACTTAGTTCAGTTGGTTAGTAATAGTATCAAAAGGGGCTTTCAGTTATTTTTTATTGTTTAAGATGCATTCTCATTAGGCATATTCATGCGCTATAAAGGAGTAGGAAAAAACAATATCTTCGATCTTAGCATTTTTTTGATAAGAGCTTCAATTTCTAAATTGAAACTCAATTAAATATATAAATAAATAAACTGAAAAGTCATAATTATTTCGAATAAACCAACATAAATTACATGACATGTTATTGTGAACTAGAACTTCAGAACTTTTGTTACTTCATTTGTAAGATGTGAAATCAACTTATTTATTGCTATAGCCTATGTAAATATTCCATTGTGAACACACGGCACCGTTTAACTTGACTGGGACGGAGTCCAATTGGAATGCATAAACGATACAATCTGCTAGATTATAGTTGACGTAGTCTCGTTTATAATATTAGGTTAACGTTTCGTATTAAATACTGTTTTAAATTATTTTTATATAAAGGTATTTTTGTGTTAATTTATCATGTGCTCGGTAAACTTCGTTAGGAAACCTCTATGTCAGAAAAATAAAAAAAAATCAGTATGACACTCTCTGGGGCAGCACATCAAACTCTTCTTAGTCATTTTTAAGTAGCTGAATTGAGTTTTTAATAAATGAATAAAATTTAAGTGTCTGTAATATTACTAAAAGTTTCCTTTCAATTCAAAGTAATTTCTAAATCAATTACGTAAAGTGATCGTAAAGGTAGACCAAGGGTTAAGTGTATGTTAAGTTATAATAAAGTACAAATCGGTTTCAGGCTTTAAATTTTTGGGTTGTATTTAATGAATAATGAGTAATTATAATTATGTTTTGCTTTTCATTTCTTGCAAAATATTTTATCTTCATACACTTACTGTAATTAAATGAAGATGCTATTTAGATAATAATGTCCTCCAGATTGAATTTCGATCACGGCGGCCAGCCTCAACGGAGACTAGCCATCGGCCCAGGACAGGATTAATAGTGCCCAAGTGTATGCGCAAGCACAGGTGCACTCTCTATTCCATCACTCTCGTATTCCGATGGGACGATAAACCGACACGACCGGAGAGAGATCAGGCGCAGGACCAACGGCTTTACATGCCTTCCGAAGCACTTTGAGAATTGAGAATTTCTAGACGGAAAAACTCAATAATTGATTTTTTGGCCCAACCCGGGATTCAAACCCAGGACCGCCTAAACCAACGAGGCAGTGGCTATTTAGATAATTATTGATACAGAGTGAGTATAAACCACGGAGCAAATATAAAGTTTTGTATTGTTTGTATGGTATAAACAGGTATTCCATTTTATTCTGATACCTTAGTATTAGACTCATCTTGGTTTTGTTGAGAAGAAAATTGAAAAACAATAAATTTAAATCTAGAACTTACCTTGCACTTCATTGCTAATACGAGCTGGTACCGATGCGCTGTCAATGCATCTTTGTACGAGCCTTGGCTGAAGTACGCCGCTCCGAGATTGCCATGTGCGCGACACTCCCCCGCGGTGTCGCCAAGTGACTTTGCAACCGCTAGATCTTGTTGCATATAGTTGATGGCCGCGTCAAGTTGACTGAGCGCCCAGTGCGCTGATGAAAGTGCGCTGAATACTGAGCCCCTAGGAATAAAATTTCGATAAAGTTTTTTAAATTCCCGCTAGGAACACAAAAATTTTAATTTTAAAGTTATTGTTATTACCCCCGTTTTTCGAAAATTGAGTTTTGTCGTCATAATCAAATCTTGACGTTTTGAGGTTACAGGAAACCACCATGACAACTTTTCGATGGTGTCTGTATGTCTGTATGTATGTAACGGCTTGAACGATTGAAATGAACTAAGTGTTTTATGAAACTTAGAGTTCCTATGAATTTTATTAAATCGGACCGGTAGATTTTGAGAAATCTCAAAAATAAACATTTTTAAAAACTGTGTTTTTGGAATAACTTATAAACGGCTTTAACGATCGATTTCAAAAACTAAACAGCTTTTAACTTTGAAAAACCACGACGATCGCCGCTGGTCCGGTTAAAATCGGTTAATTTGTTCGTGAGATATCGTTAACGAAAATTTTTGAAAAAACTGATTTTTTTTAATTACTCCGATATTTCATATCCAATTTCATAATTTGGTGAAATTTGGAGCGCTTTGCATTTGAAATTAGGGGGAAGTACCAGGGATGGCCTGCAGGGTCAACCAATTTTTTTAAGTATTTGTTAGCATCAATGACTGTTTACATTATTGGTCCGAGATGTTGATTTGAAATTCACAGTCAAAGCCGAATGAAGCTGGGGAAAAAAGGAATTAATTGAATTCGAACTTCGTACACGTGTCTCCTGGATAGGGCTAAGCGAGCAGCACCACTTTCGGCTGAGTGTTAGTTACCACCCGTCTTACAAAGACATACTGGAAAATTACACAAGTAGTGTTCCGGTATGGCGTCAGTTGAAACGCTTTTTTGGGAGTATGGATCTGAACAGTTACTGAAAGAATCAGGTGTTACTTTGCGGAAATCCATTATAATAAAAAATAAAAATATAAATTTCTTTGCAACTTTCCGCTAAACATATAAAATGATGTGTCTTACCTGGATTGAAGCGCACCTCCCGCCCTCCCTCAATTGCATACACTAACGCCGTCACCACCAGACCACTTAGCGGTCAGCCGCCGTAGAGTCTATATTACCTGAGGATGCCTCGTGTAGAGGCGAAACACGTGTCGTATTATCGTCGATGGTGTGTCTTGCCTGGAATAGTGGTGTTGAGAGTAGTGGTGCTTGGTCTAGTGGTGACGGAGTTAGTGTATGCAATTGAGGGAGGGCGGGAGGTGTGCTTCAATCCAGGTAAGACACATCATTTTATATGTTTAGCGGAAAGTTGCAAAGAAATTTATATTTTTATTTTTTATTGAACAGTTACGTTGCGCAAAAGAAAGGATTACGGCGTGGTAGTTTTTAGTTTCAGTTAACTAGTCATAATGCCCTCCCCTCCCAATGGGTTCTCGTTTCGATTGCATCTACAATTTTAGCACTGATAGAGAATTTTCTAAAAATTGTTGGTGGAAATCACATTTTTCTAACATAACTTTTTATTTTAGCTCAGCTAGAAAAACATTGCAGACTTCCTGCATATATATCTTTTCTTTTTCATTTACTAATTCTCTACAGCCCATGCTTGGCAAGTGAGTTGGAAACCAAAGCTTTTTATAATTATTGCGATCTTGTCATGAAGATGCTACTGTTCATATCGCTTCAATTTTCTTCTGTCGCTACTTACGACCCTTACGGGATGTTATAAGTAGTGGATTTTCTTACTCCAATTTTCTTACTATACGAAGGAAAGGCACTAAGTGCGATATCATAACCAGTATTAAAACGTATAGAAATAACTTTACTTCAAAATACTCGACCATAAAAAAATATTAAATTAAATTTTGTTTTATTTGCATAACTTGCAATTAGGTTTTATTACCGCCAAAGTTAGAAGTAATAAAACCACATAGAATTTACAAAAGAAAGTTTATTTAAATTTAATGACATAAACCTCTCCCCCCACGACCATATACCATAAGGGGCTCGAAACATCGGTATCCAAAGAAGTTAAAATTATATACGATAAAATACGTAAAAATTGTTTCATTTAAAGTGGTATTGCCGTAAATATAAGAAATCATTTTGACAGTTGCTTTCAATAAATTTGAAGAACAAAAGCTTCTGTCGTTGCTTTTTTTAAATTCTCTCACAACGCTTAACCCCCTATCCTTTCAGAAATGATGTCACGTCAACACGCTCGTATTAGGCGGAACAATGAACAAATTTTGACTCCAGCAACAAAAACACGGGTTACAAAGGGACCGCCCGCAGCCCTGTAAGTCCGGTTTTAGCGGCGCGTACGAGTATACGTAAATAGCTGGGCGATTAAAAAGTGAAGATAAATATTTTAATTTGTAGCCGAGTTAATGAATCACATCGCGTAATGTAATTTGACATAACACTCGACACCTCCTCGCAGGCGTCAATGATATACTTGGAGAATCTTTTTTTTTAAATACATCGAACTTAAAAAAAATCTTTTTCCTGATTGTTAAGGAATGTAGCTTAGAGCTCTTCCAATTTTTTTAAAGCAACATAGTATCCTACGTATGTACTTATAATCTATTTAATAATAATAATAAGTGCTATCTGTAACTCAAGGACATCTCTGCAACCAACTAAAAACGTATTAACTGAATTTCCTTTTTTGCATTTTACATAAGAACGATAATTTTCTGGGTGGTCCTAACTTACTATGTGGTAACGAAAATTTACTAGTTGGACCTTTTCATTACCCATTTCTGCCACTGAAAACCAGTGCCTGCGATGCTCTTCCGCTCTGAAGGGTATAGAGAGTCATTATAAATACTGATTGTAAGGCGTTCCATCATAGTCCTCAGATGTGACTAACCATTAGTAGCCTTTTTTTGAAATTGTTCGCAGGTGCATAGACCACACCAATGCATCTTAGAGGCAGGTACACGGATGTTCGTTTTTCACTTAATTTTTTTTTAATTTTATATGTGACGTGGCAAAAGACCATGCGGCTTACCTAATGATACGATTACAACATACGCAGTGATTTCATATAAAAAAATCAAACGAAACACAGCAGCATTGTAGAGCATTATATGCTAGTTTTCCATGTTGAGACTTCCAATTGTGGAAATTGTAATAAGTTGCAACGTGGCTGACGGACTGCAAGTTCGTTTTTCACTTCAGTTTTAAAAAAAAGTTTGATATCTCTATTTCCCTTTAAAATTACGTCGATAAATCTAACAATCTAGAATCTATAGCATACACTCATTCAGTATGTAATTTACAGTTATCTGATAGATGTTTTGTACGCGTTAAAGATTTTATCATTTCAATGGACCGACTCGCTCCGTACAGAGAGTTTGATAATGACATTCCCCGCCTAGCTTCTCGGTTTCACTCCAAACGTAGTTATCCTAGCTTCGAATTTCTTTTACTGTTTATCGTCAGTTAATAATTATCTCGTGTCGATAAGAATCTAAAAAATAAATGTCTCTTTAAAGTTTTCTCGCAACGAGCTACAGAATAATGCCGTATCGATACGAATTCAATCCATCAAACGCCGATAAGATCTGCTCGAGGTGTGGGTTTCGACGCGCGGTCAGGTTTGAATTCAAGTTGGGCGGGTACACACTTGTTCCGACGACAATTTCGGAACTCACCTGAGTTGCTTGATAATGCTAAGTGGAGGCGTATTCAAATTGACGGTTACTTTATGTATATTACATAAACTGATGTAGAGTAGGTAAACACAAATTGTGTATAAATTGACTTTTTAATAAATTTTATTTTTTTAATTAGCATTGCCTGCGGCTTCGCTTGCCTCTAAGCAGATATATCTTTACGATTATTTTCATAGTGACTTTTTTTTTAAGTTGAATTTAAAATTTAGACCACCTGGTGGTAAGTGGCCACTGCAGTCTATGGACTACTGGAAAAAATTTCAAACAAGAAGGCTAATATATGCGTTATTACCTCTAAGACCTGAAATGGCTTTCAGTAATTATATTGACTTTATATACTCCCTCCCCTGACTAAGATGTTTTTAAAGTTATAGATACGTCATACTCCCTCTAGAATGGCAATACGAAAGGCAGGTAATTGCCAGACTCGCATTCAATCGGGCACGCTCTCACGTCGCGACTATACTTCGCAATAGCGCGTAAATCACCAAGTTATTCGTGGCAAAAATGTTCCTTCCTATGTTTTTAGATGGAGCACAAATTACACGGCAACTGATAGAGACAAGAAAAACGTCTCATTTCATTTGTAAGTAAAGTTTTTTAATTAAAACATTAGATGTATATAATTTCGTTTGACTGTTGTTTATTACGTGTAAGGTAAAGAGCGAGATGTAATCTGTGCATGAGAGTGAAAGAGACAATGTTATCCTCCGTATCGGTAAGTCGCGCGCTTACGCCAATGAGCGCCAGCAGCAATCAATACGTAACTAATAATGTATATTCACCTCTTTCTAACGATAGGTATGCCCTATCATTTGTCTCTTTTCGTTAGCGCAACGTGTCATAATAAATAACTTTACGTATGTATAGTACTACCTGCGCCACTTTAAAATACAATAAGTAAGAGTAAAAGGGTGGTATCTACCCTGACGGACACATAGTCAGACAAGAAGTCCGAAGGAACTTCTTGTCTGACTATGTGTCCGTCAGGGTAGAGGTTTTTCTAGGAGGTATTTCTGAGGTTATAAATAATCCTATCCAATTTTTTATCCAAGACAATTTAACTGGTCGCATAACATCATCCAAATCCATTTAACAGCTTATGTGCAATTAAATGACAAGCATCGAAACTTCTTACAACGTCAACTTTTACATATTATGATGAATGTTACAAAGTAAACTTTTAATTATGATGAATGATAAAAGTAAGTAAGAATAAGTAAGTAAGAAAACCGCTGTAACCTTTTTGTTCAATCAAGAGACCTATATTAAAATACCTCCGGCATTGATGATTAAATTTAGATTTACACACAAAGCCGTGGTAGCTTAGATGGTTAGCGTCCGCTGTAAATTTCACAGTACGCGAGCAAC